CCTGATGATGGAGGCAGTATGACCTCTGAAACGTTGGTAAACATCTACCAGACTACACAGCGCAACAACCCAGAAGACGGAAATCTCCATATTCATCGCCCTGATGATGGAGGCAGTATGACCTCTGAAACGTTGGTTAACATCGACCAGACTACACAGAGCAACAACCCAGAAGACGGAAATCTCCATACTCATCGCCCTGATGATGGAGGCAGTATGACCTCTGAAACGTTGGTTAACATCGACCAGACTACACAGAGCAACAACCCAGAAGACAGAAATCTTCATACTCACCGCTGTGAAAACCTCAAATCATACAAATAAGAAGTTATTTTAATAGGCTTTCAATAAAGTCTTTTACTTCTTTCATATAATATTTAGGATAAAACATTCATACCATCTGAGGCGATAAATAAGACTGCTGTCAAAATCCAGACTGTAAATTATTGAAAAAGAATGGTTAATACTTAGTACCAAGGCAGAGTTTCACTCGGAGGGTCAATAGGTCAACAGAATTCTTGACTACATTAGCTTCCAACTTCTGATGGGATCATCAAGTGGCTATCTCTCTCTCTCTTGCAGCGGATTTAGTCTCTTGAAAAAGTCCTTTCATCCACGAACAAACCATTGGACATACTAATGAGATGACGAAGGTCCTTTCTCTTTGTCTTTTTTTATATATGTAAGTTATATGTTAAATGTACATTCAAATAAACTACTATTCCTTGAGAAATATCATTTTAAATTATGAGTGATAACAATAATTATAGACGTAGTAGGAAAACCGTATTAACATTCCATAATATTTTACAATTTAATATAGACTATTGGCTCTTCGACGTTGTATCAAATACTCCGATTGTTTGGCATCAGACAGGAGAGATGATAACTACGTACGATAAATTAAAGTACAATGGATGGGTCCATATGAAGTGATTTTTGTAGACAATAATGAACCAACCGGTTCCAGCATAATAAATGTGCCGAACACCTAACATCTGTTAACTGCTCAAAGTGTCGTTTTTCTATGTAGTTACAAAGGCGATGCAAAAAGTAGGGACAATACTGGAATAATTTCGTTGTAACATCGGCAACACTACTGAGGCCTGGTCATTTTTCAGCTCAAGGTCAGACGGTGACATGCTGCGAGTGTGGTTCAGTTGTAGTTCATCTGTACCAGTTGAGCATAACATAAAGATGACTGTCCAACTAGAGATTCTCACCAAGAATGTTTAAAAGCAGACAAATCAAGAAATTATTGTGTAAGACTTGAGGTTCTCATAGCGGTGAATATGAAGATTTCTGTCTTCTGGGTTATTGCGCTGTGTAGTCTGGTCGATGTTAACCAACGTTTCAGAGGTCATACTGCCTCCGTCATCAGGGCGATGAATATGCCAATAGGGTGTGAGGAGTTGGA